TAACCCGAGGCGGAGTTCGCGAACCAAAGCAAAATTTTGCGGCCGGAGCTGGTTGTCACCCAAAAAGTTCGTGAACAGAGGTGTTCGTAACCCGAGGCGGAGTTCGCGAACCAAAGCAAAATTTTGCGGCCGGAGCTGGTTGTCACCCAAAAAGTTCGTGAACAGAGGTGTTCGTAACCCGAGGCGGAGTTCGCGAACCAAAGCAAAATTTTGCGGCCGGAGCTGGTTGTCACCCAAAAAGTTCGTGAACAGAGGCGTTCGTAACCCGAGGTTCCACTGTACTTGCTGCTTAGCTATTACTTTACCTCCGATTCTTTTCAGTTTTGGGGGGGGGGGATTTTTTTTTGTTGGAATCGGTATTTTTTAAAAATTTTTTTTCCTGGTTTGAGTGTTTCCTCTGTTAGCAATGGAACAGCAGGACATTAATATCCTTCTAAATAGATAATGAATTTGCGGGCACGTGTTTTTTCCCTGCTGTTCTAAACAAGGGTTTTTTTCCCCTTTGCAGGTAACTTTCCAAACTCCAGTGCGGGATCCTCAAACTCGCAGGATCTTGAGTCCAGATATAAAGAAAAAGCCCGAAATTTCTCTTATAGCAGAGATTCCAGACAATCTTCTCTTGACTACGTGCAACACTGTGTGAGTAAAACAGATAATCACTGCTCTGATGTGTTTGTACAGTTGAGACCAAAAAAGGTTGTAAGGTAGCCCCGTTTTCCAAAAGCATGGCATTCCCTTGGAGCTTTCACCCTTTAAAACTAGAACAAGCTTGTTCCCTCTAGGAATTGGCATTTCTAACCCTTGAAGCCGAAGCAGAAGAGTAGTGACTTGTTCTGGACTCCCTGGAAAAAGTATTTAAATACAGTAGCTATTTTTGGCCTTAAGATCTGGAAAAGATAGTTGCCTTAGCCTGGAACTTCTGTGACCATACATTTTGATGCTTCTTTTGACGCCTTATCTCTAATGGGCTACATGAAGGCATCCAACACATTTGTTAAGTTAGTGTGAAGACCTCTTTATTTTTCAGTATTTGTCAGGATTGTTTTAAGATCTTTAGTGAGTTGACTCTTTAGAAAAAGGTTATGTGGGGATGGTTTTTATTCTGTTTTAGAGCTGTTGGTTTTTACTTTACTAATTTGTATAGCGAGACATTTTGGTCTAATAGTTAAAGTGCTGGACTAAGAGTGGGAAAATTTGAGTTCTAGCCTGCCTTAGGTGACTTTGGACCAGTCATTTTCTCTCAGCCATAGAAACAAGATGACAAGCCATTTCTGAAAATGTTGCCAAGAAAACTGCATAGATTTTTCTGTGTAGTCACCAGGAGTCAAGTCTGACTGAACGGCCCAAGAAAAAATTATACAGTGTTCCAGAGCAATGGTTCTCAATCCTACATTCCACCAATCATTTTACTAAAATTTTAATATAGAAATTAAAAGTCTGCTTTTTCTGTGAAAAAAATTACTATAATGTTGTCTTGAAAACTACACCAAGGCATCAGAATCAGAAATGGGGACATAAATATGCAGTGTGCCGCTTCTGTATATTGATGCTTTGCCCTCCCCACTATGGCTTCTGTTCCAGGCGCTAAAGGGTCTGCAAACCACCCCACGGAACCAACTCCTCTTTGCAAAACTGGCTTCTCTGTTCCAGCCAGCACCCATCTCCTCATGCAGCCTAGATTTGGCTACTTTTTTGCTCCTCTAACTGGTTTTCCTTCACGTGCAGAGGCATCTTAAGAGCCTCTTTCTCCACTGCACTCTGAAATGTTTCAATTGCTTCCTATCAGCTTGATGTTTGTTCCTCCATTCTGCAGCTAGCAAGTATGCTTGTATCTCTTAAACCACTTCTACGTACTAACCATAGTATGCATATCATTAGTATAGATACACTGCCTTAGATAATATTATTAAATTGGTAGCATCAAGTGATAGAAAGAAACTAGGCAATTACTTTATCTCTGTTACATGCAAGCTGGTCCTCTAAATATTTATTTCCAAATTATTCCTGTTGAGTTCAGATTAGCTATAGGTGTTCCAAAGAGTAAAATCAAAGCGTCCAAGAAAAAAAAAATACCATGCTGTTTCGCAACAGACTATCAGAAGTGGGCACTGTATGTCCTGGTCAATAAACAATAGAGCCTGTGAAATATAGCCTCTTTTCCTTGGCCCTTGCAGAGTGCCAAATAGAGGCCTTCTTTAGTTCAGTTACTGTATCCTTGACTGACTAAAATGAATACTGTATATCTTTCAGCAGGAATCAACCAACAATTACCACAGAGATTACTTCAGCAAAAGAGAAGATACAACCAGAAGGAAAGGTCACTCCTGATCCTTCAGATGATCTAACCTACTTGCCTACTGTCAGTGTTGTTGAGTCATTTAAGAGCTCAGACAGCCTTCTGAATTATCCTAATAGCCAGAAACTCTCTCTTTTGGAAGTTCTTACTGGAACTGAAAAACAAGATGGATTTTCTCTTTCATGTGATTCAGTTTGCTTGCCTCAAACTGTTGCTGAAAATATTCCATCTGGGGAAACAGGCTGCACAACTGAGAGTAATTTGTCCCTAGCCTCATTACTACATGATGATGTTTCAAAGCAAATTCTAAATTACGATCATGCCACAAATATCACCTCTAACAGAGCTTGCAACCTTGAGCCCTTACCAATGTTGTACTTACAAAATTCTCCCTTGCCACACATGCAAAAATTATGTAGCTTTGAAAATTTAAACAGTGACAAAATAAACAACAGTGAAGAGAATTCTGGCACTGAAATAAAAGAGAGCTGGGTTCCCAAAGTATCTTACAAGCTTGACTGCATAAACTTTGATCCCGACTTCAACACATTTGGATGTGGGCCCAACATACAGGATTCCACTGAATGTCCTGCACCCTGTGTAGAGAAATCTGATGTCCGAAAAGATGAAGCAGACTCTCTACAAACACAAGAACTTAATGTACCAGATAAATTTGAGACTATGGAATTAACAGCAGAAAGCCAGTAAGTATTCTATAACTACATCTGCAGAAATCTTGGCCTTGAAAAGCAGTATGTGAAACCTGTAATCAATTAAGGCCAGAAATTTAAATGTGGGTACAAATGGATATGGCATATACTGCAATTGTTCAGAGTTGTAATATCAGGCATTTTATTTTGCTCAGTATCCAAAGTGTTGTTATCCATTAACTTTATAATGCATAGATTTCATCCAGTTTTTAAGCAATAAAGATGTCTTATCAATAATGCACACAGCAAACATTTTCTTTTGAGCTTGGAAAACAAAATCTCCACATGGAATGTTTTAATCTGTTGGAACATTCTGAATAGATTGTATTCTGACTGAATAAATCAGAATAATTTTTGTGTGTTCTACCATGGGAAATAATGTTGCAAAAACCAAGCCTCTGCTCCCTAATTTAGATTTCAGCATCACAAAAGTAGATTAATTGATAGTACCTGCATAGTGTTGCCTGCTATCTAATTTACTGAAAAATTGGTCAAAGGGATTATTTTTTACAAAAGTAAATCATTTTAAATTCCCATAATAAACAGTGGGAACAGCAGTTAAACATGCACAAAGAACTGTATAACTGAAGTTAGCAAAAAAACATTAATTTTTAAAAACTGCAACATAAGAACTCCAAAAAATACACTTTTTTGGCTTTTTGCTTGAGATGACATCTTCCTAATGTATACACATACTACAAGTTTCTTGCATTCTGCAGTCTGAAAATTCAACAGCGTGGTAGCACTATCTTTAACGCACATGCACAGTGGATCCTTTGCATTTGCAACCTACTGAAGGCATTAAGTATACAAGCCAGCACTATTCCATTGCAATCTATCAACTTCCCTATAGCAGATAATTTTAAAAAGCAGTAAGTTTATCCATCAAGTATACAGTTTGTGCTTAGGTGACTTCCCACACACTTCCTCCCCTGAATTTGTTTGAACCTGTAGCAGCCTGGACGCAATCTGTCATTTATTATCTAATGTACTCTTCATGTACCCAAAGACTACAGGGTCTAAGAGCCTTTGAAACAATATGGAATAAAATGCCCTGCCCCTATAAGAGGGAAACGCTGATGCTTTGTTCTGATCTCAGAATACTTGAAACTGTAGTTCTGAGGCTAGAGCATTTTGGATGGTGCTAGTAAATTTACACAATCACATGTTTGAAAAAGCAAATTTCCCCCCCAAACTTTGCATTCTAAATATCAGCACAATACAGAGAAAGATGGAGAACAACAGATTCACTGAATTGCAAATAACTTACTTATAAAGCACAAAATACCAAATGTTGTTGCTCTCAAATATTCTAATCTGCTTTGTATAGGAGAGCGACTGATGATCGGATTTTAACTGACAGTCAGGCTGTGGTTGAAAAAGATGCTCAAGGTGAACCTTCAGGAGAAATAATGGTATTGTATTGTCCCAATATTCAAATCATTATCTGTATTCATGCTGCACAGGTTTTGCGGAGAAAGAATGGCCATGATTCTGAAGACATTGCCACGAATACCACTTGTGCAATAAAATGTACTCCATTCTTAGCACAACATTGGCTTACCAATAAAATTGTCCATTCAATTGATTCAGAGGCTATGCATTGAGTTATCTGATACATTTTAAACAGCAAAGCGGTGTTTGAGCTTATGCATCTCATACTGACTTCTTGAAAAGCAGAGGGTTGGTCTGTGTAATGGGCAAAACAAGATCAGCAAAGTAAGACTTCGACTAGGAAGGTCTGCTGGTCCTCTGTGTTGTTTTTCCATGCAGTTGAATTGTGCTGTTAAAGGGCTGATCAGCAAAATGAAGGGGGGCCACTTTAGCCACATGTGCCGTTGGAACTTACCGCTCTGCTTGCTGAACATGTCCACAAAAATATTGTTTATTTAGGTGAGCCAAAGGACTATATTATCTGAGACCTCAGACCAAGGAAACATGTCTCTGGATGGACAGTTGCTCGTAGGTGATTTAGCACCCAGACCCCTTTGTGGAAGTACAGAAACAGGGAGTGAAAGTAACCAGCTATTTACCGAAAGTGAAGAATTCAGACCACCTATGGAAGGTAAGCATAAGTCAGTCTAAGTCAATGTTAGAGTATTCCAGTGAGCATGTGCTAGTTAAATAAGTTTTACCCCTATTTATTTTTGTTTGCTCTGTTTCAAAGAAGCTTGGAACATTTATACAGAGCCCAGTGAAACATTGTAGATAATGGTCAGTAACCAGACTGACAAACCAAAAGTTCTTGCCAGTGTTTCAAAACAGAGATGAAGAAAAATAAGAGCTGCAACTGTAACTCCATGCACTTTTGACCAGCTGAAATTGCAGTTTTAATGACTGTAAGATGACCCTCTAAGTGAAAGCCATTGTCGCTGCTTCATTTAGACAAATATTGATTGCATGTTGCCATGATACACGTAAGCCTTCCAGTGCAGGTCTAGGTACATGGACAATTTGTTAATCCATGTTAGTAATTATTTCACAATCATTTCACATTGGAAGCTTTAGCAAAGTAGTTTTTGTTTTGGTTTGGTAACAGCAGGCCTGCTGGTTAAAATTGATTGAATGGCCAATGGGAAGAAGGCTGTCTGCTCATTTTCAGTGTACAGATAGGACACCCTAATGGCAGGAAGGGGTTTCTTTATTTGTCTCTGAAAGCAATAACTTATTTTGTGATGAATTCTTGATTGCTGTTGCCTTCCATCTCTTTCTCCTCCTAGTTTTTGGAATACAAATAGACTATCTAGAGCAATTTGGAATGGCCTCGGTAAGTAACCTATAGCAGAACCAAATCTACAGCTTGTCTAGCTTGTGCCCACCAGCCGAAAAGGACTTCTAAAGGGAAAAAATAAGAAAAATATTCAGTTGGGGACGATTCTAATGCTGTAACTACATGGAAGTGTGACTTAATATGACACACAAAACAGAATTGCTGTATATACCTTATGATCATCTGAAGCATTCTTTCTGGTAGTCTGATGTAGCTAAACTGAAACACTTAATGAAAACAGGAGGTTCACTGTGATGTTCAAGTAAATCCAAAACTTCCCTTGAGAATTATTTTTATTAGGTTGCGCAAAAACCACACAATCCACTTCACAGCCAGATTATCAGCTCCAAATAGTCCAACTTGCCTTGGGTTGATCTGGAGCATAGCTCATCCTTACCTGTTTCTAATTTTGGAGTGATACTTGGGAGAACTGGAGTTCCCCTCTCTTTTATTTAGTGTGGAGAAGAAACTTAAGCTAACAATGCCTGCCCCATTTTTATTTGTTATCAGAACGTGATGTGATTTGCAGGACATGTAGACCTTTATAAAAGAAGGAGGTGTGACAAGTTTCATAGAAACCCATCAGAAATTTTTACATTTGACTGCAGCGACTACTTTCTCAGATGACTTCCACAACCCTTGCCAGCTGAATTTGACTTGGAGATTGTAACCCCATTTCTGTAAAGCTGCTGCCTAATATAGTAATAACATGCACCCTTCTATAAGGCCAAGTGTATTTTGGAAGATGGCTCTTATCTGCACAAAAGGCAGGAAGAAGACAGATACATGTAGTGGTATATTACAGTACTTAGATTTTTATGGTTCCAGAAATGGAAAGTAACAATTAGTAACGTCTGTGAGGAATAAATGAACAAAGGAGAAGTAAAAAATTGTCTGAAAGAATTGTACTATAAAAGGGTGGGCATATTAGATGGGATGAGAAAAAAGCAATGGAAAGTTGGGTAAACAATGAAAAAAGGAAGATTATTCAGTTGATTATTTGCAAAAGAACACTGCCGTATACATAACTACCCAAAAGGAGATGCAAAGTGGCAATAAACAAGAAATACACACCCATTTCTTTTCCCACTTTCCGTATCCTCACTCATTCCAAAAGCTCTAATTGGGCCAACCAATCAGACAGATCCCAACTTTGATCTGATGGTAGGCCTTGGATCCCTGAATCCAGTTCTTCCTCTCCCTGCTAAGGTGTGTTTCCAATTTGACTTGTGCTGTTTTTATGAAATGTTGCATTTCTAGTTAGAAGCCAACATCTCTTGGGGCACAGTATTATTTTACCTAACCATACTATTTACCCCAAAGGAAGATGATCCTCAAAGGAAGTTTAAAAAGGAAAACACTATAAAATGGAAAAATCCTATTTGCTGCCTAGTGTCTTTACCTGGTCAACTTGGTTTATAACTCCCATTGAAATCCGTGTTGAAAATTTCCCCGTAAATACATGTGACATGCCTGTATACGTTTCTGCATATTTGTGCTGTGTATGTGTGCTAGGCTGAGGTCATGCAAGAAAAAGAGCAGTGACTAGGCCAAACAATAACGTAATATCAGTTGAATTAATAACTTCATTGTTAATCAGTTGAACTAATAAACTCTTTCATTTGTTTACCCAAAATCATTTCTATTTTGCTTATGCATCCGCTCATGTAGAGAAAGACATTGCTTAAATCTGAGTTCAGCAAGCATAAGCCTATACACTTTAATTTTGTAGTAAATCCTGTTGAGTTTAATGGCCTAGCTCGTAGGCAAGTATGCTGTTATGCTGTGGATAGGTCTGTTTAGCCCAGTTTAAACTGATACAAACTGAAGTGCAAACTGGGAGGAGATTTTTGAGATATTGCTGTTTCTTTCCTTCAGTTTGCAACTCAGAAACAAGTTGATTCTTTTGGGTAGGGTTGCAAGCTCAAGGAAAATGTAGTAAGTCACACTGAGTTCAATTGCTCTTATTCCCAGGTGTGTATGCTTGAGACTTCTAGTACTGTTTAGATAGTACACTAGCCTCATTCTCTACTGTCCCTGCATTATAGGGTGAGCATCTACAGTAAAGAGCTTCTCTATCCCTTAGACTCTCCACCAGTTGAGGGATCCTGGTATTCAGACATCTTTGTCTGTATTGAGAGCCTTCATGGATAGAGGTGTCTGTCCACTGTAAACACTCACTGCTTATACATGCTGTTCCCTTGAAGCTTTGGCAGCCAGTTGTTCCCCTCTCTTGAAGCTACCTCTGCTATTGCATTCTCAGCAAATGTAAGATACATGCACACCCCAATTCACTGGTAAATGGGGGGGGGTGCGCAATATTTTACTCTAATAAATATGATAGTTAAATTTTTAAACAAGCACCTTGAAGATTGTATGTCCTTATTAAGACTAAGTGTAGGCCAAAAATCTTCAGAGAAGTCTGGGACGTGACCAAGAAAGAGAAAGACTGCCTGTGTTGACTTCACAAATGCATTTCTTTTAGCTGAAGGAATCTGTTTTGAGAAAGCAGTCCCTGTACTTGAAGTTTGATCCTCTGCTCAGCGAAAGCCCTAAGAAAAAGGGTCCTGATACTAATGAAGCAACTCTTCCAGTAGCTGCATTGCTGCAAAATGGGTAAGTATTGCCTCTTTTTTAAGTGAGAATTTTAGAAGCATATGTAGACCTGTCTAAATACTGTATTTGTGTTTATATTTCAAAGTTGCCTTTCTATGATTGTTAAATCTGGAAGACATTTATTTGGGAAGAGTTAGGATTGGATGACAGATCCTAAATCTAAACAGATTCTTCAACTGGGCAGAGAAGAGTTGTATTCCTCTTGTTTTCTATGAAGATTTGTTTTATTGTTTTAAATATTGTATCCCTGGTTTTGTGTATACATATGATTTAGGTGGTAGGAAGCATTTCCCATGGGCTACCATATTATCTGGCAGTTACTCTTGCAGTTCCATTAAAAATATTTCAAGCATTGTTCTTACAGGACACAAAATATTAAAGCTGTTTCAAGTTTTGCTTGACAGAATGCAGCCAACTAAAAATTTTTTGGCAGAACATTTTAAGTGGGGTTGTTTTGGTGCAAACTTGAAACAATGCACATTTTCACGTTCTTCGTGAAAGCCATCATACGCTAGGGACATGCAAAGGGTAGCTGATTTTAATATACACATTTTGGATGTTTTGGTTCATGCATGAAATTAAAAGGTAGTTATTCTAGGAAAAGGTGGGGGGAGGGGTGTAACACCAAAAGCAGCTGGGGGAGGTAAAAGAGGGAGGGAAGTGAAATGAAGGCTGTGGGAAGATGAGAGCGGATGAGCCAGTGAGATATGCTGTGCTGGGAACCTATTCCTCACTGCTGAGACCAGTTGCACAGACTAGTAGTACATTGGTAGCAACAGTAGCTGGGGTTGGCAGAGGAGGCAGTGGGAAGATGGGGGCCATGTAATATGCTGCATTAGAAGCTGATAAGGGAAGAAAGGGGGTAATGTGCACCAGCATTTTCCTGTTCCTTGCACATCCATGTTCTGTGATTAACTTTTCAGCCCACAGAATTGAAAGTTTAAGGAGGGGGGTAGATAGGAATCACAGCTATTAGAAGCTGGTACAGAAGAGAAGACCTTCACTGATGTAAGTCGAGCCTCCTTCAGACTGACATATCCATTAAGTGTTCTAGGCAACAGTAAGGAAGCAGCATGCCATTGCCTTCTGGGTTTTTTGCTGGTTTCTGACCATTTAAGTTAGCTTCTGAGCCAAGCCAAGGTCAGGCTGGTGCTACTCCTTCAATCTAATACATAGGAAAAAGCATCTGATAAGACTTTTCTGCCATTGGCTCCTTCGTTTGCTTCTAAGCAGAACTTCTACAAAAACTGCATCCATTGAAGTAAAATCATCTGAACAGGAAGAAAAGCTGTTGGGGCTTGACTTTCAAATTTTTCCAGATCTGGTAAGTGCCATCCAAATATATCAGTCTTTTGAAGTCAGTTCCATTTATGCTTGTAAAATGGAAACCAATGCCTTGTCAGATTTAAAACAACACGATATTGCTGTTTCCCATTGCATGAATGAGGTTTGGGCCTGCATGTTTCCCATTTCATGCCCCAGAAGATATCAGAAGTATCTTTAGATCTGCTCAGATTATTTGCTCAAGCAAACCACTATTCCCAAGTTTGAAGATATAAGGAATTATAGTTACTCTGAAACCATTGGGTAAATACACTTTTTAAGAGTAATCGCTGCTATTATGCATGAAACATTTCTTACCACAGGGAAAGACATCTCCAGACTTCCCCACCAGTAACAACATGCCATTGTTCTCATGTGCTCAGTCTTCTGAAGCAATTATAGATGTACTGAAATACAGTCAAAAAGATATGGATGAAGTTTTACAGAAAGTAAAGCTTGATATGGATGCTGTAGTCCAAACACTTACTGCCGAGGTAAGAACATCAACCATTATTTCAAATCTCTCTCCATGCTCATCAAAATGGATACTTTATTTCATTTTCTTACATAAATACTATTCAGACGGTAGGGAGGTGATGACTGAAAACATCCTTTAGACTCCATACCAGTTAAATGCAGGCGCTTCTGTCATTGCCTGTAAGTAGTTACACTCTAAATTCTCGACTTTTTTGGTAGAATAAGACACAAAGGAATGACTTGCACGCACTCATGTTGCAAATCCATCCAATCCTATAGCTTTGATGTTTTTCTCATTTGTATCTTCAAGGTTCCTGTTCCTATAGTAATAGATTTTTGTATAATAGCAGTTGATAAAAAAGTTCCCAGCAGAATCTCTGTGACAAAAAATCATTTCAAGACTGTAGCCTTAAAAAGAAGGGTGCAATTCTAGGAAAGTAATTCTGTTTGTCAAAAGCTATAAGGGCAAGAAGTCAGATGAAAAACATTGCTGGCTACTTTTCTTTCTTTCTCCATAAATCTGAAAAAAAAAAAATCTCTTTTTGCTAAGTGTTTTAGGAATTTTGCTGTTTCAGGTACAAGAAAAGCAAAGGGAAGCTTTGGAATGGAAGAGGAAGCATGACAAAATTTATGCTGAAAGTAAAGAAATGGAGTAGGTATAAGTAGGTAACATTAGAATTGTTTTGTAATGATTTCTACAAAGGAATAATTTTTTTTTATCTAACCTATTTCTAACCCAGTTTTTAAAAGGAAATGTCTTGTTCCAGCCAATAGGATTCTTTTTTAAAAAATTTTACCGCGCCTTTATTATTTTTATAAATAACTCAAGGCGCTGAACATGCTTAGTACTACTTACTCCTATTTTCCCCACAACAACAACCCTTTGAGGTGAGTTGGGCTGAGAGAGAGAGGGGGCTGATTGGCCCAAAGTCACCCAGCTGGCTTGTACTGGAAAATATTATAGAATATGGCCCTGCAGCTTTTTTGGAATTCTCAGCCAAAATGTCCATCTAGACTATGACTTGGGGGTTCCCTATTGCAATGGGAAGCAGAAGTTCTGTTTACCAGCCCCCAGGACAGAACTTAGGGAATCTGTCTCTCCAAGCTAGCTGAATGTTTTCTAACACCTCTGTGTTTTGATTGCTCAACTTACTGTGTTACAACCTGACAGAGCAGAGAGATATCACTGGGGAAGGGGGACCCTTATACATTAAAGCTTGACTTGTGCATATTATATAGTGCAGGGAAGTATTTACAACTTAGCAACTATTCTCTTCCCATTTGAAAAGTTTGATGTGCTTTTTCTGATTTATATGTATAAGTATGCTAGATTAGCAACTTATTCCACCTTTGGGCTTTCCCTTCCCCTTGTTGACATCAAACAAAATCTTGTGAGATTTTAGCAATTTGGTAAGGTAAGCATGGTCTTACAAGCACTACTGATGTACACCTGAATTCACACTTCATTTTAGGAGGTAGTTTGGCTGAAGTAAAATTTGTTGCCTAAGCCATAGTGGCCGAGTTCACACATTTTGCTAAATTATCATGAAACAAACTATATTATAGCCTAACACAATATATGCATTTAGTTAGATTGGTGCTTGGTGGAATCCTAAGACTTAGTTTAAAACTCCCATAGCACTTTCTCCATCTATATTTCAAGCAGAGAGGGGTGCCTTTTTCTTTCTTTCAAAGCAAGAACTATCACTGGGTTTTTAAGCAGAGGGAGGGGATGCACCAATGCTGCCAAGGTCAGATCCTCACCCCTTAGTGGCATGGGTGGGGGAGGCTTAATATACATCCTCTTTCTCCACAAGGAAGAGGATACAATTTAGCCATCAATCCATGTATTCTCATCCACTGAAAGAAATCTTTACCTGGCATGTGCCTTTTCCAAATGGGGAAAGTGCAAATTGGGTGAACCTCCTCAAACAGGAGTTGCTAAGTATGAGCCCGGATCAGGGAATATGACACCCAGCTCCTGCTTCTGGAGGAGAGATGAGGTGTGGGTGTTTCAGACCTGATTCTGCAGGAGCATCAACGGGTTTGGCAAAGAGGGCAAGGATTGGAGGTGAAGCACAGATGAGGCCTCATAACCCAGTGGACCATTACATTAGGCCCACAGGTTGGAGGTTCCTCATCTCTCTTCCATAGTCAGGGAGATCTCATTTTTACTTCATCTCTTCCAAAGATAGCTAGAGTATGAATCAAGCAGAATTTCATTCTGTAATTCCATTGGCTTATTTCACTGGTTTTCAGAATTGGTGGAAAGTTTGGTGCAGTCTCCCATGACACTTTCCAGATTGCTGCATCAAAGCCCAAACTAGTTTTCACATCTGTGGCAACTTTGGTTGAGTGCTTAAAAATGGAGTAGTGGTACCACTGTTTCATCTTTAAGCACTCAACCGAAGTTACCACAGGCTTCATCCCTATGGTGTTCAGAGTTATGCGGGCCATGTATTTCTGTTAATGTCAATGCAAAGATGGCAAAATCATGAAATGTGTTAAGATATCATAGCCCAAATTCCATATTTTATACTGGTGTTGCAATGTCATATGCAGGTATATAGAGTCATTGAATCATGACATCACAATGCATGTTTCCATGCTCATATCTCTCCCCTACCACACCTGCTTCTTGCCTGTGCCCTATCCCAGGAAAGTCCAGTCTTTCTAAATGGATAGAACGTGGTCTTTTCTTCTATGTACCTACCTGTACCTCTGATCATTTTCTTCCTTTCCATCTTGCAAACAGTGCACAATATTGATGGCCACAATGTTTAAACCTCTACATAGAATCTCTGCTTCTTTGGGTAATGGGTTTGTTCTTGTGACAACTGCAACTGGGTTGGGGGTGCTTTCTATTCCTCCTTCCATTCCTGGGCAGCTTTCAGATGGACAGGGTGAACATTCTGTCTTCGTGCCAAATGTGCCCCCTTGTTTTGCAGTTTTTATGGGAAATACTATTTTTTCCTTTCTATACCAGTGCATTCTCTACAAATAAACAGTCCCAGTTGCCTGTAGAGATAATGATATTGCAAGGACAGTAGAATTTAGGTATTCAGCACAGGAAAGTGTCTGCAGTTAGGTGGTAGTGTTTTGCTTCTATAAAGAATTGTGGAGTTAACCTTGATGAAGGAATGGATGAAGCATTAAGAAGGAAAAATGACAACCCGGTCCAGGGTAAATGGAAAGTGCGAGAAAGAAACTCAGAATATCCCCACCTTGATTGTGTTTAGTATAAGAGGGGGCAGCAGGAAACTGGCAAGCGCTCAAGATTCTGTTATTATATCCTGCAATGATAAAAGGAGCATTCCTGTAATCCTTGTATCTAAAGAGCTTTAGCCTAGCTTTGTGATGCACATGTAGATTGACGTGTTTCTCTCCACAAATACCAGCAGAAGATACAGTATTGGCTAAAGATGGCTAGGAGAATGTATGCATTATATCAAATACTTTTGCTTTGCATTCTGTTTTTCCAGAGGTGAACAGAATATTGGGTTTACTATTCCTTCCTTCAGCAGCATGCAGTGGGTAAAATCCACAGCAGACAAGACTGTAGATGCCTCTCCTGTCTTCGTTTGGCAAATTGTTTGTCTTACGCATATTTCTGTTTTGTTTTGAAAGGGCAAATACATTTCTTGTTTTATCTTCTCTTGACTTGATGTCCTTCTCCTAGCTTTACTAGCAGGGACTGGAAGTTAGATGAAGCACTGACTTCATAAAATAAGGGGAAGAATGCGTTTCAAAGGCATTTGCTGACAGAAAGTGGGATCTATTAAGTAATGTGAGTTTTGGTTAATATTCTGATAGTATATTAAAATAATTTTCTTTTATTTTTAGAAAAATTGTTGCTGAGTTTGAGGGCACCATAACACAAGTGATGGGTAGGTTCAGATTACATTTTGTAAACATCTGTTTTTTGAGGAAGAAACCATACTCCACGATTGCATCTGGGCTTGGTGTTTTGCGTCTAAGAGTTGAATGCATAAAGCTATCTTATCTGCACTTGACTAGAAAACAGAGTAGATTGCTAGATTGAGATGTTGTGACACTACAACTTGTAGTTCCAAGTTATTATGACCGGGGTAAGGAATGCTGGGAATATAATTCAGCAATATTGGGAGGGTTTCAGGTTGGGAAACCCTGGGATAGGTTCTACTGCACAAAATTTTTTTAGGTTTGGCATTTTAAGATCAATAATTGTATAGTGAAGGTTTTGGCTTGGGAACCCCCTTCCAAGGTCTTCTATATTTTCTAGAATATTATGCCAATTTCACTAATTTATTTCTTCAGAGGATTCTCAGATCCAAAAGGAGCTTGCAAAAAAAGAACTGCAGAAAGTATTGGATGAAAAGCAACAAGTTATTTCTGATCTGAATGCTGTGGAAAAGTCTTTCTCTGAATTCTTCAAACGATTTAAAAAACAGAAGGAGGCCATAGAAGGATTTCAAAGGGTGAGCCTTTTCAGCTGTTCTACCCTGAGCTCCCTTCAACACTTCTTTGCACATGACACCATCTTTTTTTCTGAGAAGCTTTTGGCTTAAAATCTTGAAGCTTTGTCCATTTCTTGAGTGAGGATCTTTGTAATCTGCCCAGAGGTTCCTATGTTGAAAACACAACATAAATAATTACAGTGGTGGCAAATACTGATTATTTGGGGATAATTGTATTTTTGAAGGCGTTTAAATAGATCCTAAAACACTCTTGGGTTCTTTTTTAATGTAGTTAATAGCTCTTTATATCGGTTATTTTCAGGTGGAGGGTGCTGTCTCTGCCTTTTCTGTTTGCTTTCTGTACCTATGGAACCAGCATTGATTCTTGGTTAATTTTACTAACTGATCACAAGTCAGAAGAGAATGGTATCACTAAGCCAACGTGGGACTTGCCAACTGGGTGGGCAGTGATGTGCATGGTGTATACCATTCATTCTTATCAGTTAAGTAAGTATTTCTCCAAGAAACATATGCTTGGGGGAAAAAAGTATTAAAGAAAGGCATCTGCAGCTTAACTTAGCAAAATGTTGCTAAGAATTTTAACAAGTTCCTGTTTCTATACCTCATAAGATGTCTGTGTTTGTTCTACTGAAGAAAAGCAGTTTTGCCTAAAGAAAGGTTTTGCCTCTAAACCAGTGTTTCTCAACCTTGGGAACTTTAAGGTGTGTGGACTTCAACTCCCAGGATT